CCTAGCAGGCAGGCCAAGGCCAAAAACAAACAAACAAAAAGGCCCCAAAGAACAGATAAAAGCTCCACAAAAAATACAACAGAGCAATGAAGAGATAGTCAACCTATCAGATGCACAGTTCAAAACACTGGTAATCAGAATGCTCACAGAACTGGTTGAATTTGGTTGCAAATTAGATTTAAAAAATGAAGGCTATGCTAAGGGAAATAAAGGAAAATGTACAGGGAACCAATAGTGATGGGAAGGAAACTGGAACTTTAATCAACAATTTGGACCAGAAGGAAGAAAGAAACATTCAACCAGGACAAAATGAAGAGACAATTCAAAAAAAATGAGGAGAAGCTTAGGAACTTGCAGGATATCTTTAAACTTTCCAACATCTGAATTAGAGGGGTACCAGAAGGAGAGGAAGAAGAGCAATAAATTGGAAACTTATTTGAAAAAATAATGAAGGAAAACTTCCTCAATCTAGCAAAGGAAATAGACTCCCAGAAACTCTGAGAAGCTCAGAGAGTCCCAAAGAAATTGGACCCATGGAGGAACACACCAAGGCACATCATCATTAAGTTACCCAAGACTAAAAATAAGGAGAGAACTTAGAAGCAGCAAGAGAAAAGAAGACAGTTACCGACAAAGGAGTTCCCATAAGACTATCAGCAATTTCTCAAAAGAGATATGACAGGCAAGAAGGTGCTGGAAAGAAGTATTTGAAGTTATGAAAGGCAAGGACCTACATCCAAGATTGCTCTACCCAGCAAAGCTTTCATTAGAGTGGGAGGGCATATAAGGCACTTCCCAAATAAGATCAAGTTCAAGGAGTTCATCATCTCCGAGCTCTTATTATATGAAATGTCAAAGGGACTTATCTAAGAAAAAGAAGATAAAAAATATGAACAGTAAAAATGATAGCAAACTCACAGTAATTAACAACCACACCTAAAACAGAAACAAAAGCAAATAACTAGAAGAGAAATAGAACCATAGAAATAAAGATCACATGGAGGGTTATCAACAGGAGAGTGGGAGGGGGAGAGAGAGGGAAAAGGTAAAGAGAATAAGTAGCATAAATGGTAGGTAGAAAATAGACAGGGAGAGGTTAAGAATAGTATAGGAGGACTTCCGGCCACAATGGAGGCATAAGTGGAAACACTGTGCCTCCTCTCACAACCAAGTTTAAAGACAAAGATTTAGTAACAAAAACACCACCAACTCAGACAGAAAATTGAACTATATGAAAGTCCGACAATGAACCATTCATCCAGACCGGTAAGAGGGGTAGAGTCAGCAGCTGGCAGAGAAGGGTAGCACACAAAAAAGTGGCCAGGCTGACCCAGGTGCACAGGTGGTGGTTGGCAGATGCCAGGCACAGGGTGGCAATGGGCAGACCCAGTGAGGGCGCAAGGCAGCTGGCTGACTGAGGTCACGAATTCATGTGCAGATAAACCAGGTGAAAAAAATGAACAGAGATAAACTGTGCAAGCCAGGGCCCCAGTGCCAGGAAATAAAGCCTAAAAGCACTTTTGGGAAAAATTTTTGGGGTTCAAGGTGCTGGGAGAGGCTCTCAGGATCACAGAGAGTTTGTTGGAGAGACCCACAGGGTCCTAGAATGTACACAAGCCCACACACCTGGGAACCAGCACCAGAAGGGCCCAATTTGCTTGTGGGAAGCAGCAGAGGGGACTGAAATCCGAGAGACCTCAGAACAAACACCATTGCTCCTCTTTGACCCCACCCCCACATACAGTATCACAACCCAGCAACTGGGTCGCCCCACCCTGGTGAACACCTAAGGTTTTGCCCCTCATATGTAATAGGTGCGAACAGACCAAAACATTATGGCTCAGGAAGAAGAACAGTTCAAAGACCCAGAGCCAATACTTGTAAAGTGACCAAGAGATAGCCAACCTATTATATGCACAGTCCAAAACACTGGTGATCAGGATGCTCACAGAACTGGTTGATTTTAGTCACAAATTAGAGGAACAAATGAAGGCTAAACTAAGTGAAATAAAGGGAAATGCACAGGGAACCAATAGTGATGGGAAGGAAACTTGGACTCAAATTAATGGAGTGGACAAGAAGGAAGAAAAAAATGACCAAACAGAAAAGAATGAAGAAATAAGAATTCAGAAAAATGAGGAGAGGCTTAGGAATCTCCAGGATATCTTTAAACATTCCAACATCCAAATTATAGGGGTACCAGAAGGGGAAGAGGAACAGCCACAACTGGAAAACTTATTTGAACAAATAATAAAGGAGAACTTCCCCAATCTGGCAAAGGAAATAGACTTCCAGGAAGTCCAGGAAGCTCAGAGAGTCCCAAAGAAGTTGGACCCAAGGAGGAACACACCAAGGCACATCGTCATTATATTAGCCAAGATTAAAATGAAGGAGAGAATCCTAGAAGCAGCAAGGGATAAGAGCACAGTCATCTACAAAGGAGTTCTCATCAGACTATCAGCTGACTTCCCCGAAGAGACCTTACAGGCAAGAAGGAGCTGGAAAGAAGTATTCCAAGTCATGAAATCCAAAAACCTACATCCAAGATTGCTCTATCCAGCAAAGCTTTTTTTAAAAATATATTTTATTGATTATGCCATTACAGTTGTTCTATTTTCTCCCCTTCATTCCCCTCCACCCTGCACACCCCCTCCCCCCCATTCCCCCCTTTAGTTTATGACCATGTGTCTCAAGTTCTTTAGATTCTATATTTCCCCTACTATTCTTGCCCTCTCCCCCATCTATTTTCTACCTACTGTCTGTGCTACTTTTTTTCTGTACCTTCTGCCTCCTTCTCCTCCCACTCCCCTTTTGCTAACCCTCCATGTGATCTTCATTTCTATAGTTCACTCCTGGTCTAGCTGTCCTCTTAGTTTGCTTTTGTTTTAGGTGTGGTTGTTAACAGCTGTGAGTTTGCTGTCCTTTCACTGTTCATCTTTTTTATCTTCTTTTTCTTAGATAAGTCCCTTTAACATTTCATATAATAAGGGCTTGGTGATGATGAACTCCTTGGATTTGATCTTATCTGAGAAGCACTTTATCTGTCCTTCCATTCTAAATGAAAGCTTTGCTGGATAGAGCAATCTTGGATGTAGGTCTTTGGATTTCATGACTTGGAATACTTCTTTCCAGCCCCTTCTTGCCTATAAGGTCTCTTCTGAGAAATCAGCTGACAGTCTGATGGGAACTCCTTCGTAGGTGACTGTCCCCTTTTCTCTTGCTGCTTCTAGGATTCTCTCCTTCATTTGAATCTTGGCTAATGTAATGATGATGTGCCTTGGTGTGTTCCTTCTTGGGTCCAACTTCTTTGGGACTCTCTGAGCTTCCTGGATTTCCTGGAAGTGTATTTCCTTTGCCAGATTGAGGAAGTTCTTTTATTATTTGTTCAAATAAGGTTTCCACTCGTGGCTATTCGTCTTCCCCTTCTGGTACCCCTGTAATTCGGATGTTGGAGTGTTTAAAGATGTCCTGGAGGTTCCTAAGCCTCTCCTCATGTATTTCAATTCTTGTTTGTTTATCCTTTTCTGTTTGGTCATTTTTTTCTTTCTTCTGGTCCACTCCACTGATTTGAGTCCCAGTTTCCTTTCCATTACTATTGGTTTCCTGTGCATTACCCTTCATTTCACTTAGTTCAGCCTTCATTTGTTCCTCTAATTTGTGACTAAAATCAACCAGTTCTGTGACCATCCTGATGACCAGTGTTTTGGACTGTGCATCTGAAAGGTTGGCTATTTCTTCGTCACTTAGAGTTATGGGCTCTGGGGCTTTGAGTTCTTCTTGAGCCATAGTGTTTTTCTCTGTTCGAGCCTGTCACAGTATGAGGAGCAGAGCCTTAGGTGTTCACTAGGGCAGGGCCACCCAGGTCACTGGTTTGTGATGCTGCATGTTTGGGTGGGGTCAGAGAGGGACAATAGTGGTCCACTCTGCTGCTCCCCACTGCTGGGGGCTGTGTGGTCCGTCTCACTGCTAGCTCCCTCACCAGTTTATCGGTCTGGCTTAATGGTTCATTGTTGTCAGACTTCCTTATAGTTCAATTTTCTGAGGTTTGGCTGGGTTTTTGTTGCTAAACTTTGTTGTTTTTAAACTTGGTTGTGCGAGAAGGCACAATGTTTCCACCTACGCCTCCATCTTGGCAGAAGTCAGCAAAGCTTTCATTTATAATGGAAGGACAGATAAAGTACTTCTCAGATAAGGTGAAATTCAAGGAGTTCATCATCAACAAGCCCTTATTATATGAAATGTTAAAGGGACTTATCTAAGAAAAAGAAGATAAAAAATATGAACAGTGAAAGGACAGCAAACTCACAGTTACTAACAACCACACCTAAGGAAACTAAGAGGACAGCTAGATCAGGAGTGGAACCATAGAAATGGAGATTACAAGGAGGGTTAGCAACAGGGGATTGGGAAAAGGAGAAGATACAGAGAATAAGTAGCATAGACAGTAGGTAGAAAATAGGGGGGAGGGCAAGTATAGTATGGATAATATAGAATCTAAAGAACTTGTGATACAAGAACATAAACTAAAGGGGGGAATAGTGGGGAAGGGGGTGTGCAGGGAGGAGGTAAATGAAGGGGAAAAAATAGGACAACCGTAATGGCATAATCAATAAAATATATTAAAAAATAGAATGGTATGGGAAATGTAGAAACCAAAGAACTTATATGTATCACCCATGGACATTAACTAAAGGGGGGGATTGTGGGTTGGAGGGGGGGGTGGAGGGGAATGAAGGGGTAAAAATAAGACAACTGTAATAGCATAATCAATAATATATATTAAAAATAATCTTGAAGAAAGGTATTTTCAAGTGTTTATGAGCCATTCAGTCTATTATCCTGTGAAAGAGGATCTCCTTATCAATTCAGCACACAGAAATAAGGATAAATTGAGAATGAGAAGCACTGGTAATACATAGACCCAGAGTGTTTCCTTCCAATATGAGATTATTAAAAATGAAGCTTTGAATTCTCTAATATTTCTTTTCTTTTTTGTTAAGTTGCTATAGCTCAAGGTGGAACAATCCAGATTTCTAAACCAGGATCTGATGTTGTTCAGGGACTGCAGGCATTAACAGTGACAAATTCAGGAGCTCTTCCACCAGGTGCTACAATTGTGCAGGACACAGTGCAGGCAGCTGACGGCACACAGCAGTTCTTTGTTCCAGGCAGCCAAGTGGTTGTCCAAGGTATAGTTTATTAACCTGATGCATTTACAGTACCTGTGGGTTACTGAAGCACTCCACTCAGCGGTGGTTTTATGGTGTTCTGAAATATGCAGGAGGTAGATGGGGGGGGCCCTTAAAGGCTTGAAGAAGAAATATTTTAGTATATTTAATACATTTAGTAAGTTAAATACATTACATGATTTTTATTTTCTAGCAGGTTTTATTGGCTAAAGAAAAGTTAAATTCAGAGTATCATAATGAAAAAGGGGAGTTGAAAACATGAGTGAATTGTTTAAGTAAATAATCTCTTTGAGAGGGTTATAAATGTTGTATCTATGTTTATTACCTACAGGGTCCAGCACAAATAATGCCTATGTTTTAATACAAAATAATAAGCCTATAATTCTGTGACATAACAATAGCATACTCAAGCACACCATATGACATGTTAAGTGAAGTGTTCAAATTAAAACTGTAAATTTTCACACACATATTATTACCCTACCACCTACTCTCAAGCAGGGGTTATTTCCGCCAAACCCTGTAGTTTATGAAGACTGAAGTAGCCAGTCTGTGATGCACTGAGTTTGGGTCTTTCCCAAAGTCAGCTGTTACGCTCAAGTCCTATATAGACATCTTATTTCAAAACTGGCTGATTTTTTTTTCTTTAGACTATTCATAATATGTTTGAAATCTGGGGTGCCCATTCTACCTCTTACGGAAGCTGATAGTAGTGAAATAAAGCAGTTGGAATGTAGCCCTATGCTTTTAGGGGAACTTAAGCTTTCAATTAAATTTGAGTTATGCATTATTTTAATTTTATTCAGTAGTGCTTATAATAACTACAATGTGTTTATTAGAACTTTCAAAAATCTGCTTTTTTAAACTTAATTCTATTATTGTTGGGCCATATGCTGAGGACTTATGATATAGCACTAATTTTAAGGGGAGTGATATCAGTTCCTTTAGTTTGAAAGTCTTCCAAGTACGGACAAATGCAAATATAATTGATAAATTTCTTGTTAATTAGCTTTCCTCCTACGTATTTTAGAGGTGAATGTGGACTGTAATAAAGGTATATGAAGAACTGTAGTGGTAGCATTTATAGGTATGAAAAATTTCATAGTACTTACCCAAAACTCTAATGTTTTCTTTTAAATGTATAGTAAAGCTACTTATTAAGAGATGATTTATGGTGTGTTTATGGTGGAATTACATCCTGATAAACCTATTATAAGTTGAAAATGTAGTAAGTTGAAAATGCATTTAAGACACCTAATCTACCAAACGCCATAGCTTAGCCGAACCTGCCTTACACATGCTCAGTTGGGCCCAGTCATGCCACACAGAGAACACCATGGAGCTTGGGCTGTTGACCCTTGTGATCGCCTGGCTGACTGGGAGCTGCAGCTCACTGCACCTGCCCAGCATCAGGAGACAGGATCAGACCTCATATCACTAGCCCTGGAAAAGATCAAAATTCAAAATTCCAACTGCAGTTTCTATTGAATGGGTATCGCTTTTTAAGCATTGTAAACTCAAATATTGTAAGGCAAACCAACTTAAGTCAGGGACTATATGTATTCCTTATACTCATGAAACCTCTATATATAAATGAATAGCCATAAAGAATCATCATTTCTAATGTCTTTAATATAGAAAGTCCACCACAAACTTCATACTTGAACAATGAGTGCTTTTTCATTGATACTTTAACAATAAGTTTTGCATAGGTAACATGCAAGTGTTGTGATTTTGAGGTTTATTTAAGAACTATTTTCTTCCCTCAGTCACAAAGATATCTTCTACAAAAACTCTGTTAGCATCATAGTTTTTACTTTTACATTTAGGTCCTTAATTCACCTGAGGTTCACCTCTGTGTATAGTATTAGGCAGGAGTATGGAGCCAGTTTTCCCCTACGAATGGTTTGTCCTTTCTCCATTAATTTATGAGGCAGTCTTAATTACACAGTAGGTTCTCTTTTACTTGGATCTGTCTCAGAACTCTGTTATCTCACAGAACAAGTTTATTTTTTTTTAAAGTTATGATTTAGCTTTTTTGAACCATTATTCTTTCATGTGCATTTGGAATAAATTTGAGTTTCTAAATAATAATAATATAAAACCAATGATGAGATTAAATTTAATTTATAGATTAATTTAGAAAGAACTAAAAGTCTTTTTTATTGTGATATAATTGACATATAACATGATATTAATTTTAGGTGCACAACATAGTGATTTGACATTTGTATAAGTCACAGTAAATGATCACCACAATAGGTCTAGTTAACATCTATCCCCACAAATAGTTACAAATTTGTCTGTCTTGTGATGAGAACTTTTAAGATCTATTCTTCAGCAATTTAAAAATATACATGCAGTATTATTAACTATAGTCACATCCCCCAGATTTTGTTGCTCTCTTAAAGGATACCTTTCTATTACATTTTCTAGTTGTTGCTGGTGTGGAGAAATATGACTGATTTTTTTTTAAGTATCTTTTGACTATTAACTCTTGAAACTCTAATTACGTCCAATAATGTGCTGGTTCTTCGTGACTCTATCTCTGATACTATGTGAATATTTATATCAAACATAAATAAGATGTTTTGTTTCTTCCCTTCAGATCTTTTATTCCTCTTGTTTTCTTTTTCTCCTCATCTTGCCTCTTCTCTTTTTCCTTTTCTTCTTCTTTTTAAAAATAACAATGGCCAGGAGTTCTAGTTTGATGATAAACAGAGCAGGTCAGTGGGCATTCTTCCCTTACTCTCTATTCCATTGAAAGGTCACAGCAATTTCTTTTTTAGATCTTGGTTTTTATCTTGATTGAATCCCTCAGCAGTATTTAGCACTGTTGACATGTGCTTCCTTCACTTCCCTGATATTGCATTCTTTCCATTTTTTTCTGTCTCTCCTACCTCTCTTTCAGGCTCCTTCATTGGTCTAACCTTCCTCCACCCAGAAGTGTCAGTGGTGTTCTTCAGGATTGCATCCTGGGCCTTCCTCCATCTGACTTGGCTACTGTCCCTGGATGAACTCATGCCTGCCCATGGCTCCAGTTCACTGTGACTCTGCCCCTGATTCCAGTCAGCTATGGACATATTCCTCATACATCTTGACTTCTTAAATCCAAAACTCCCCACCCATTTCACAGCCCCAGTTCTCCTTTGTTTACTCTACTTTAGTAATGGATTCTCCCATCCTGTTGCTTCAGTTCAGAAACCTGGGTGTCATGTCTTAGTCTCTTGCCTTCTCCATTCATTCTTCTTTCTCCACCCCACCATAATTTTGGTTCCAGCTGCTGTCCCCTCTCACCTGGATTCCTGTAACAGACTTGGGCCTGCCAAGTGCCTGGCCTCAAGCTGGTAGCTCTGGAGCAGTATCCTCAGTTTCCTGATCATGCAGGGAACAGCATATCCCTTCTTGGCTCATTTTTTAGGAAATTATCCCTGCAAGTTCAGCTAGGCTCTCTTTCTTTATTCCTCCCAACGATTCTGGGAGCTAATAGTTCTTAAAAACAAAAGTCTGTGTCTTGAGCATTCCCTTTCTCTGTTATACTCTCAGTTCTACAGTTCACAGTGGTAATTCTAAAATTCACATCTCATTAGGTCAGCCTCCCACTCAAAACCCTTCAGTGGATGAATGCCTCTTACTTGTTGGACAGAGACAGAATCCTTAACATGGCCCAGCCTTTGCTTGATCTGGGCCTTACTTCCTCTTTCTCACTTCTCCCTCTTATGCTGGATTTCTTTCATTTCCTGTCATGTGTTGTGCCTGCTCTCATCTACCGGCCTTCACACACCCGTTTACCCTGAAACATTGTTTCTGTTTCATCTTGGATAGCACTTCCCCCAGAAAGCCTTCCCTGACCTCCACAACTGGCTTAGGTCACCCCTTGCAGCTTCTACTGCACCTTCTCAGAGCCAGTATCACTGAATTGTGACTCTCGGGATCCTGCCTAGATGGCAACTTGTGCTAAGACAGGGATTCTTAGTCACTAGGACTGTCCCTAGCATATGACTAGTGGGTTCAGTGACCATTTACTGAATGAAAGTAGAATACACTTCCTCTAGTGAAAATGTTACTAGTTCTGTGTGCTGATTAACTGAGTTTTTTGGGTATATAGAATTTATTAAAACTTTCTAATAGTAGTCAGCCAAGCAACCAACTTCCCTCTTTCCTTTCCTTCTTTACACTTTTTTACACTAATATATATTAAACAAATGTTGAGAATAATTTGAACTTTCTAAAATGTGAATAAAACCAATTAGTAGTCTTAGATCCAAACTCAGGTGTGGATGCAATGACAAGATATTTGTACAGAGCCACTGATGGGGTTGATGTTGAAGGTACTCCCCAGATCTTCTTACACATTACCAGGATGTCTTCAGTTTATGTGTTCTGGAGAATTAGTGGAAACATGGGTTCTCCCTGATGTTTCTTCTCCTAAGCATCTGAGTGTCCCTGATTTTATGAGAAGATGCTTCTTTGAACAAGGCAAAAATGTGGTGGGATGTCCTTTCACTGATTTAAGGTCAGCTTGAATTCTAACCATAAAAGGGGCTGGACTTTGTATAAGCCACTGATGAAAGTGAAAGGTCTCAGGGACATGTCACTTACTTTGGTGTCCTAAGACGCCAATCATTTTTCCTCAGGCTATGGTCCATTATACTGTTGAACAGCTCCAATTCTGTGTCCAACCTTGAATTGTAAAATTTACAGTGATCTAGCTTTTCCTGTGTCAAGTCTTCATTAAGTAACCTAAATAAATTCAGAGATACTTTTTTAATGGACATATTTTTAATTTATTAATATTAATTGTAATTTATTTATGAAGTTTTATTTTTCTAATTTATAAATATATTTTATTGATTATGCTATTACAGTTTGTCCCATTCCCCCCCCCGCTTTATTTGCCTCTGCCCTGCACCACTCTCCCACCCCTTTAGTTCATGTCCATGGGTTGTACATGTAAGTTCTTCATCTTCTCCTTTTTCTATACTATTCTTAACCTCCCC